GGGGGGTCAGAGAACCAGCGAGGGCACGGGAGCCCCTTGTCAGACACACAGCTGTGGCGACAGACCTGAACATCACGAGGACCAGTCGGGGCCAGGCAACGTGTCTTTCTGTTGTCCACAGAGTTGACTCAACAGCAGCTAGCTGTCAGTCAAGCCCTGGCTGCCAAGCATCAGCTCAGAGCACGTTCACCACCCTCCCGTGGGTGTCGGTATTGCATTACTCCCATTTTACAGATGGGGACACTGAGCCCAGAGAGGTTAGGCAGTGTGCTCGAGTTCACACAGCTGACGGGTGGTGGAGTCAGAACCGAAATCCCATCTGCCTGGCTCCAAGGCCTGTGGCCCAAGCCACAATTCACCCACTTCCTGAAAACTCCTCCAACAGTCAGCAAAGGGGCCGAGGTCAGTCCACCGAAGCAGCGCGCAAACAGAGATGAGACTTCCCCACAACAGGAGAAGCCCGGAAACAGGTGAGGACAATGACGCGCCGGCCACAGCAGCCCGACCACAGGCAGTACCTGCATTTCAGAATAATCTTGCAGTAGCGTTTCTGCCGCCTCTGGCTTCAGCTCCCCTTTGTAAAGAGCACTTTCTATCTGGGTGAAAAACATCCTGTGCAGCTCGCTCCTCTGGAAGACGGCCAGCTGCCTCTGCGCCTCGGCAAAGTCTTCCTCCCGCTGCAGGGCCAGAGCCCTCTGCAGGTGGCCCTGCTCCAGGCCGTGCAGGGTCCGCAGGAGGCTGCTGCACTCGGCTGCGGTCTGCGGAGAGAAGAGCGGCCCTGTGAGACACGCCAAACATACGCGTGCACACGTGTGCGCACACATGCACGTGTGCAACGACCATGCAGGCACATGTGCACGTGGGCACACAGACACACACGCACATGCACACACAGCACAGACATATGCACACATACACAAGTATGTTCTTATGCAATGCATATGGCAAACGCATCTGCACATGGGATATGTGTGTGGCACACTCAGGAACACATGTGCACATGCATACACGGAATGAACACAATCCACACATGCACACATGCACACAGGACACACATCCACAGAAGACATGCTCACACGTGCACACACAAATGCACACTGCACACACATGTGCACATTTGCATACACAGGTACAGATACACAATCAACACAGGGCACACCCACATGCACACAGCACACACGGAATGTGCTAGCACACACTCACACTTGCACACACACAATACGACAAGCTGACAACAATGACACTACTCTGTCCTGTGCAATGCGGTTGGAATCTGTCCTCCTATCAGCCTAACTCTTTCTGGAACAATCTCAAGAGCAGAAAATTCACAGGCAGAGATGTGCAATGCAAATCAGACTGCCTGGAAACAGCTACCAGAATGGGGCACTCTGGGAGGTCAGTGGATGGCACTCAGTGGATGGTGAGATGCCTCCATCACTTCCACTCTTCCTTTAGCAGAGGAGAAAAGGGCTGGCAATCCGGCCCAGACGGAGGTCATTTGAGTGAAGAGAGAAGCAGATGGAGTTAGGTAATGCCAACCTGGTGGCCTGCAGTCCATGCGGTCCAGTCCAAGGAAGACAAAGGGGGAAGACACCCTAGCCCACTGAATTATCTCAGTAAGGCACATGCCCTGGGGTGCGGTACCTCCACGTGGTAGGCAGGACTCTAAGGTGGCCCCCAAGATCCCAGCCCCCTGGTGTGTTCACCGGCAAAGCCCTTCTCCTTGCATGTGGGTGAGAAACTAGACCAGAATAGGGCATCACTCCCATGATTCCAAAAAAAAAAACCAAATTCACTGCCATTGAGCTAATTCTGACTCACTGCAGCCCCCACTGGATTTCCAACACTGTAAACCTTGTTTTCTTTTTCTTTTATTTTAAGAGCTGTTTTACATTCAATATCACGCGTACATTTAGTTTCATTTCCCATTCACCATATCCAACCGTAACCCAGTCTCCTCCCTCCCTACCCTGCAACACTTCCCCTGTGCCCCTCATCACTATGCACTCCTGTTTCTCCTGCATTTCCTCAGTTTGAATGTTGGCCCTTTGGTGTCCCATGCGTTATTGCTTTAGGGGATGTATTACCATTGAGTGTGTGGGGGCAGCATCTGGGTTGAGTGGTCTGCATGTACATCTCGCTAACCATTTGGCTGAGAACCCGCCCCTTGTGGGTGAGTTTTATTCCAGACGCCGAATGTATTTCAGGGCCACAGTATTGGGAGTCTCACCAGACTTCATCTGACCCAACACTATAAATCTTTACAGAAGCAGACTGCCTCATCTTTCTCCACAGAGCAGCTGGTGGGTTCAAACCACCAATCTCTTGGTTAGCAGCCAAATGCCTTAACCAGTACACCACCAGAGTGCCCATGATTAGGCTGTTATATGGCAAAGGTGTTGGGACTTTCAGACTTTCTGGAGCCACTGAGGCTGGACAAACCCCTTGAGAACCTTGCCCTGAGTTAAACTTCACACCACACCTTCCCCAGAAGTCTGCTTTGAACCAGACAACAGTTCAGCTTCATGTTCATGTGTGTGTGCCTTGAGCACTGCACTCTTGCAGAGCTTTGTCTACGTGGGAACAAACTGCACCTGGGAGGATGGGATGAGAAGCTCGGGGCACAGTGACTTCTAGTCGGGGTGGCAGAGTAACTTGGAACAGGAGGCTGAGAATGGACACACGACTTGAAGAATGTCACCTATGTCACTAAACTGCACACATCTTTAGCCAATATCAAGTCCCTAAGCACATGACCTTGAGATCATCAGAAGGGAATTTCCTAGGTGGGTCTGACATGATCAAGTGAAGGCTGGCCCTTCCTGAAGACACACACACACCTGCTGGCCTGAAGAAGAAAATGGCCAGGCTGTAACCCACCCAAAGAGGCAGCCTCTGGGAGTTGAGGGCCTTGATCCCACCACTGCCAGGAACCTGTGGAAGGCTGGAGTGGAAGGCCAAAGGGACCCCGCACTGAGAACTGCAGAACTTCAACAGACTAGCAGGCTCCACTAAAGCAGACAGTCATCATAGTGACTAACTTGCTATTTCTCCCTCCCTTTTGCTTTCTTTTAAGTAAATAGAATAGTCAACCTCTTTACGGACACTGAGTTCTTTAGATTTGTTTTCTCAATCATATACTCTTCTAAGCATAACCCTCTCCTGTGACTGGGTTTGGCTGAGAACTGTAACCTATGAAGCAAGATGACCCTAGGAAGAGGGACATTGAGTCTAGAGTAACCAGGGAAGAAAAAAACAAAGACATTCCTGGTCGTCCATGGGCTCTTCACCCCTTTCCCATCTCCCTACATAATCACATTCACCCCTTTGCTGGGGAAGACAGACATTGTAGAGAAGTGATTCTCTCTGTCTCCTTGGGTCTTGATACTCAATAAATCTGCTTTCCCGCTTCAATCGGTTGTGATTAATGGCTCTTCGTGACAGGGGTCACAACAAACTGAGTTCTGCCAACAACCTGAACGGGCCTGAACAGGATCTCAATCCAGGTGAGAGCCCAGCCCAGCTGGCAACCTGACTGCCAGCCGGTGAGACTGCACATGGAGGACCTAGCTGAGCCGTCCCTGGACTCCTGACCCACAGACCCTGGGCAATAACCAGTGGGCACCGTCCCAGGTCACGACACTGGTGCCATCTGTTACGCAGCCACAGAAAACTACCACCTGCACTTACAGCTGAAGAAAAGTGAAGCAATTTCCCAAATTCTAAAGAGGGCAGATGAGGAGTGCAGGCTCTGAGCTCCGAAACTGCAGACTTTGGGGAACAGGAGCAGGGGAACATGTACATGGCCCTGAGGTCTGCAGGGGCGTGCTCGTGGGTGGCGGAAGCATGTGGGAGTGTGGCCGTGGCAGGGCTGAGTGGGGACCCAGAGAAGGCAGAAGGGGGACGTGGCAGCAGAGGGCAAACAAGATCTGAGTGTTCTGTACCCACCTGCACCCCATCTTCAGGAAATACCATTGCCATCTCCCCACCTGCCCAAGTCACAGACCAGACATTTCCACTTCCATCAGCCACAAAAGCCTGTAAAGGTGACAGTGACCTCCATCTTCCCAGCTCCTTTTACCTGTTTTTCCACTTGTTCAGAATCTGGACCAGAAAGAGGAATATTATTTACTTAGGGCCGGTAGTAGTTGTGTGATAAAATTCTTGCATACGACATACCTGGGTTCAAATCCCAGCCAATGCACTTGCACGGCCACCACCCATTGGTCAGTAGAGGCTTCCAGGCTGCTATGATGTTGAATAACTAGGAAAAAGACCTGGTGATCTAGCTCCAAAATGCCACCAAAGACAATGCAACCCACCATGGTGATGGTGCAGGACCGGGCAGCGTTTCGTTCCACTGCACATGGAGTCATTGGGACAGGGCTGACCCACCACAGCCAACAGAGAAGTCTAACAGCCCACCCATGATAATCCCTGGCCTCAAGGTGCTCACGGCACCACCTAGTGGATGTGAAGATGAAACACAGAGTCAGATGGTTATTTACCACTTCCTGGACCCACCTTCGAGGAGCTCTGGTGGCACAGTGCATAAGGCATTTGCCCGCTAACCAAAAGGTCAGTGGTTCAAACCGATCAGCGGCTCCATGAAAAGAAGATGGGGCAATCCACTTCCATAAAGATTTACAGCCTGGGAAACCCAATGGGGCTCACTATGAGTCAGAACCAACTCGATGGCAGTGAGTTTGGTCTTTGGTTCTGGCCACACCTTCAGTATCCATCCCAATATGAATGGTGTGCTTCGTCTACCAAAGAACAGGGTCTTTTTAAAAAGCTGGTTTTATAAAAAGGATTAGACTTTGATCAGACTCTTCTGAGTCACTCTACTAGAGAAGAGGGTTATTCACAGCTGACTTTAAACCACAGAATGTGATTTGTAAGAAACCATGAGGGTGTCAAAACCCTGGCTGTGGGTGCCATGTGGGCCTTCTCCTACTGAGGGAGTAGCTCATGCCCAGTTAGGTTGGGCCATCCATCAAAGTGACCTTCTTTTTTGACAGTGTGGAATCTGACAAGTCCCAAACCTCCACTTATTTTAATTAATAGGAATGAACTACGGGTAAGATTTGTTTAGCTTCTTACAGCTAAGACAAAAAGCACATGCATATGCACCAATTCATGCTGAAGAAAAAGCCACAAGGCAATGATGCCTTTCTCATAATGAAACACCTTGTAAAATGCATTTGGGCAGGGACATACACATCCCTTCCAAATACACAGCCCTCTGATGTGGGATCCAGAGCCCTACAGAAATGCATTCAACCCCTGACATAGTTCAACCCTCCCAGGAAGAAGAGAGACAGGGGGACAGCCTCACCCCAGAGGCAGGAAAGGGAGGGAACTCCAGGGATGACAAAAGTGCCAGGATCCAGGTAAGGGGAGGGTGGAGAGATTTTGAACAGCTAAAGGAGTCAAACTTGCCTGTCAGTTTGTCGTACTGTTATGGCTTGTGCATTGCTGTGAGGCTTGAGGCTGTGCCACCAGTGTTTCAAATGCCAGCAGGGCTGAACATGGTGCACAGGTTTCAACTCAGCATACAGACTGAGACGGACTAGGAAGAAAGAACAGGCCAACAACTTCTCAAAGAATTGGCCAGGGAAAACCTTATGAATAGCAGAGAAACATTGTCTGATACATTACTGGGCAACTTTATGAACAGCCCGGAAACATAGTCCAATACAGTGCAGGAGGATAAGCCACTTAGGTCAGAAGGCTTTCAAAATAGGACCAGGAAAGA